TTGCTAAAACTCAAGGCAGCCATCAAACCACACACACTAATAGTAGGAGACTTCAACACTCCTCTCTCACCAATGGACAGGTCAATCAGACAGAAACCTAACAGAAAAATAAGAGAATTAATGGAGGTAATGAATCAAATGGACTTAACAGACATCTATAGAACATTCCACCCAAATAGGAAAGAATATACCTTCTTCTCTGCAGCTCATGGGACCTTCTCAAAAATCGACCACATAGTCGGTAACAAAGCAAACATCCACAGTTACAAAAAAATATTAATAACCGCCTGTGTTTTATCAGATCACCATGGATTAAAGTTAGAATTCAACAACAATCCTACCCCCAGAAAGCCTACAAATTCATGGAAACTGAACAGTCAACTACTGAACCATACCTGGATTAAGGAAGAAATTAAGAAAGAAATTAAAGTCTTCCTGGAATTCAACGAAAATAAAGAAACAACATACTTAAACTTATGGGACACTATGAAAGCAGTCCTAAGAGGAAAGTTCATAGCACTAAGTGCCCACTTAAGGAAAACAGAGAAAGCTCACATTGGAGACTTAACAGCCCACCTGAAAGCTCTAGAAAAAAAAGAAGCAGACTCACCTAGGAGGAGTAGAAGACTGGAAATAATCAAACTGAGGGCTGAAATCAACAAAATAGAAACACAGAAAACAATACAAAGAATCAATGAAACAAAAAGCTGGTTCCTGGAGAAAATCAAGAAGATTGATAAACCCCTATCCAAACTAATCAAACGGCAGAGAGAGAATTTGCAAATTAATAAGATCAGAAATGAAAAGGGGGACATAACCACAGACACAGAGGAAATTCAGAGAATCATTAGATCTTACTGCAAAAGCCTATATGCCACAAAACTGGAAAATGTAAAGGAAATGGACATTTTTTTAGATAAATACCATATACCAAAGTTAAACCAGGACCAGGTGAACAATCTAAATAGACCTGTTAGTCGCGAAGAATTAGAAGAGGTTATCAAAAACCTCCCTACCAAAAAAAGCCCAGGACCAGATGGTTTCAATGCAGAATTCTACCAGAACTTCCAAGAAGAGCTAATACCTATACTCCTTAATGTATTTCACAATATAGAAACAGAAGAGTCATTGCCAAATTCCTTTTAAGAAGCTACAGTTACCCTGATACCAAAACCGCACAAAGACTCAACCAAGAAAGAAAATTATAGGCCAATCTCACTCATGAACATCGATGCAAAAAGCCTCAACAAAATACTGGCAAACCGAATCCAAGAACACATTAGAAAAAATTTTTTTGTTTTGTTTTTATTTTTTGTTTTTCGAGACAGGGTTTCTCTGTGGTTTTGGAGCCTGTCCTGGAACTAGCTCTTGTAGACCAGGCTGGTCTCAAACTCACAGAGATCCGCCTGCCTCTGCCTCCCGAGTGCTGGGATTAAAGGCGTGCACCACCACCGCCCGGCTAGAAAAATTATCCATTATGATCAAGTAGGCTTCATCCCAGGGATGCAGGGCTGGTTCAACATACGAAAATCTATCAATGTAATCCATCATATAAATAAACTGAAAGAAAAAAACCATATGATCATTTCATTAGATGCTGAAAAAGCATTTGACAAAATTCAACATCCCTTTATGATAAAAGTATTGGAGAGATTAGGGATACAAGGGTCATACCTAAATATAATAAAAGCTATATACAGCAAGCCGACAGCTAACATCAAATTAAATGGAGAGAAACTTAAAGCCATCCCACTAAACTCAGGAACACGACAAGGCTGTCCACTCTCGCCATACCTCTTCAATATAGTGCTTGAAGTTCTAGCAATAGCAATAAGACAACATAAGGGGATCAAGGGGATTCGAATTGGAAAGGAAGAAGTGAAACTTTCGTTATTTGCAGATGATATGATAGTGTACATAAGCGACCCCCAAAACTCCACCAAAGAACTTTTACAGCTGATATACAGCTTTAGTAATGTGGCAGGATACAAGATCAACTCCAAAAAATCAGTCGCCCTCTTATACACAAAGGATATGGAAGCAGAGAGGGAAATCAGAGAAGCTTCACCTTTCACGATAGCCACAAACAGCATAAAATATCTTGGGGTAACTCTAACCAAGGAAGTGAAAGATCTATTTGACAAGAACTTTAAGGCATTGAAGAAAGAAACTGAGGAGTATACCAGAAAATGGAAGGACCTCCCTTGCTCTTGGATTGGGAGGATCAACATAGTAAAAATGTCAATTCTACCAAAGGCAATTTATAGATTCCATGCAATCCCCATCAAGGTCCCATCAAAATTCTTCACAGATCTTGAGAGGACAATAATCAACTTTATATGGAAAAACAAAAAACCCAGGATAGCCAAAACAATCCTATACAATAAAGGATTGTCTGGAGGCATTACCATCCCTGACTTCAAACTCTATTACAGAGCTACAGTGATGAAAACAGTGTGGTACTGGCATAAAAACAGAGAAGTCGACCAATGGAATCGTATAGAAGACCCGAATTTTAACCCACAAACCTATGAACACCTCATTTTTGATAAAGGAGCCAAAAGTATACAATGGAAGAAGGAAAGCATCTTCAACAAATGGTGCTGGCATAACTGGATGTCAACCTGTAGAAGAATGAAAATAGACCCATATCTATCACCATGCACAAAACTCAAGTCCAAATGGATTAAAGACCTCACTATCATCAGAACACATTGAACCTGATAGAAGAGAAAGTGGGAAGTACCCTACAGCAGATGGGCACAGGAGATCGCTTCCTATGTGTAACCCCAACAGCACAGACATTAAGGGCAACATTGAATAAATGGGACCTACTAAAACTGAGAAGCTTCTGTAAAGCAAAGGACACTGTCACCAAGACAAAAAGGCAACCTACTGACTGGGAGAAGATCTTCACCAACCCCGCAACAGACAAAGGTCTGATCTCCAAAATATATAGAGAACTCAGGAAACTAGACTTTAAAATGCTAATTAACCCAATTAAAAAATGGGGCACTGAACTAAACAGAGAATTCTCAGCAGAGGAAGTTCAAATGGCCAAAAGACACTTAAGGTCATGCTCAACCTCCTTAGCGATCAGGGAATGCAAATCAAAACAAGTTTGAGATATCATCTTACACCTGTCAGAATGGCTAAAATAAAAAACTCCAATGACAGCCTTTGCTGGAGAGGCTGTGGAGGAAGGGGTACCCTCATCCATTGCTGGTGGGAATGCAATCTTGTGCAACCACTTTGGAAATCAGTGTTTTGGTTTCTCAGGAAATTTGGGATCAACCTACCCCTGGACCCAGCAATACCACTCCTGGGAATATACCCAAGAGATGCCCTATCATATGACAAGAGCATTTGTTCAACTATGTTCATAGCAGTATTATTTGTAATAGCCAGAACTTGGAAACAACCTAGATGTCCTTCAATGGAAGAATGGATGAAGAAAGTGTGGAATATCTACACATTAGAGTACTATGCTGCGGTAAAAAACAATGACTTCTCAAATTTTGCATGCAAATGGATGGAAATAGAAAATACTATCCTGAGTGAGGTAACCCAGACCCAAAAAGATGAATATGGGATGTACTCACTCATAATTGGTTTCTAGCCATAAACAAGGGTCACGGAGTCTACAATTGGTGATCCCAAAGAAGCTAAGTAAGAAGGTGAACCAAAGGAAAAACATATAATTGTCCTCTTGGCTATGGGAAGTAGACAAAATTGCCGGGGAGAAAATTGAGATCTTGGGGGTGGTGTGGGATGGGGGTAAGGGGAGATGGGGAGAGAAAAGGGAGAAGGGGAGAATGGGGGGAACTTGGGGAAAAAGGAGGATTGGGATAAAGGAAGGTTAGATAGGGGAGCACGGAAGCACAATTCTTAGTTAAGGGAGCCACCTGAGAGTTGGCAAGAGACTTGAACCTAGAGTGGCTCCCAGGTGCCCAAGCCAAGGTCCCCAGTTAGTTCCTTGGGCAGCTGAGGATAGGGAACCTGAAATGACCCTATCCTATAGCAATACTGACGAATATCTTGCATATCATCATAGACCCTTCATCTGGTGATGGATGGAGATAGAGACAGAGACCCACACTGGAGCACTGGACTGAGCTCCCAAGGTCCCAATGAGGAGCAGAAGGAGGGAGAACATGAGCAAAGAAGTCGGGACCACGAGGGGTGCACCCACCCACTGAGACAGTGGAGCTGATCTATTGGGAGCTCACCAAGGCCAGCTGGACTGTGACTGAAAAAGCATGGGATAAAACTGGACTCTCTGAGCATGGCGAACAATGAGGGCTGATGAGAAGCCAAGGACAATGGCACGGGGTTTTGAACCTACGTAATGTTCTGGCTTTGTGGGAGCCTAGCCAGTTTGGATGTTCACCTTCCTAGGAATGGACGGAGAGGGGAGGACCTAGGACTTACCACAGGGCAGGGAACCCTGACTGCTCTTTGGACAGGAGAGGGAGGGGGAGAGGAGTGGGGGGAGGGGGAGAAGGGGGAGAGGAGGGGGAGAAGGGTGGGAGGAGGGGGAGAAGGGTGGGAGGAGGGGGAGGGAAATGGGAGGCTGGGAGGAGGTGGAAACTTGTTTTTTTTTCTCCTTTTCTCAATAAAAAAAATGGAAAAAAATGAATCTGGATGTTATAGTATACTGTGTGGTCACAGCCTGCCAGCAACAAAGGCAAGAGGACTGTCATAGAATGGAGGCCATCCTGGTCTATAAGCTAAGTCTAGGCCAGCCAGAGGTATACAGAGAGACCCTGTATGAAAACAGACAGACAGACAGATATGTAGCTGCAGTAAGTGTTCAAATTGTAGTTGTTGATATTTTTATAACTTCTAATTCAATACTGCTTTGGCAATACATTTGAGAACACCTTGGTTGGTAGATAAAGGTTTGTATGCTAATCATGATATGGATAACGAATCTGTGATTTCTTTTAAGTGGGAGCTAAGTAAAAGTTTTAATTACCTTTGTAGTGCATATTACTTACAGAATTTTAAAATACCACAAGAAGCAAACATGAGATTCACCCACAATCAAATGGCGTTCCTCTTCCTGGGTCTAAAAAGAAATGCAAAAGAAAAAAATAAGTTAAATTTGAGATAGATACCAATAGGGATATAAGCCTGAGCATCACAGAAGAACTGTTACTTACCTAAGAGCAGAGAAAAATAGATTTTAGACTAGAATTAATAACATACATACAGAAAGTATTCAATTCCTCAGCTTCTCTATAGTTACTGGAATGAATGGCAAATTTTGGAGATGTCTGGCAACTTGCTATCCCTATTATGTCTATCCTATTTTTCTCGTGGATGTATGCTTCTACTCACCTTCTGGATCCGTGATTCTCAACTGCCCAGAGGACAGGTTATGTTTGACAATGTGTGGAAGTGGTTTGGGTTGTTCCAACTACCTGTTTGTTTTCTAAATCAGCAGACCCAGTGACATTCGTTTGCAATCACATGTGCTTTCTTGAATTGAAGAAAGGGAAGTGGAATAAAAGATGGGTCTTCAGTTCGCTTTCGGTCCTGAGTATTGCCATTGGAATGTGTGACTTGAGACTTTGTAGGAGCCAACCATGATAAGCTTAATAGAAACAGACCACCCGAAGGAAGTTCTTAACTTCCAGCCATTATCACCTGCCAGTGTAGGACTCAGCCATGATAAGTTTAATGGAGGCCTGAGTCGCAGTACACTGAAGCCATACCTGGTAGCAGGAAGGACCACAAACTGAGATTACCCAGGCACCACCAAGAACAGACCATCCAAAGGAAATACCTAATGTTCCATCCATTGTAGATAGGATCACCTGCCAGCAACGTACTCACCAGGACACCCCTAGACAAACATTAGCCAATCAGGGGACCTGAACCTTAGAAATCCCTCACCCCCACCTTTACTACTATAAAAACTCAACTCTAACTGAGCTTGGGGCTTGGGGATCTCTGATTATTCCAATATGTTGGACACATGGAGAGACCAAGTTTGCAAACTTGTATAAAATAAAGGCTCTTTGATTTTACATAAGGGACTCGGTCTCCTTCATGAATCTGGGCATAACAACCTATTCTGCTGAGAGAATCATTAACAGTCAGGATGCTGGCATACTAAGTGATGAAAAGGCTAAATAGTAGGGTTGAGGTGTTAGTTGAATGGCTCAGTACTTGCCAAGGATGCACAAGGCCTTGGGTTCAATCTCCAGCATCATGAATGAATGAATGAACACATACAAAGAAAGGAAACTGAAGTAAAAATTAGATATAATTTCACAATTTATACTCTGATATGAAAAATGACAGACTGACAGTAATTTCAAAATGTTGGCTGAGGTCGCTTGTTCTTCCCAGCTGCCTGGCTAGTTTAGACCCAAAATAATCACGCAGAAACCATATTATTTAAATCACTGCTTGGCCCATTAGCTCTAGCTTCTTATTGGCACACTCCTACATATTAATTTGACCCATTTCTATTAATCTGTGTATCGCCACATGACTGTGGCTTACCGGGTAATGCTCCCAGCGTCTATTTCCAGTGGCTCCACGGCTTTTCTCCTACTCTGTCCTTCTTTTTCTCAGCATTCAGCTTAGTTTTCCCTGCCTAGCTAAGTTCTGCCCTGCTATAGGTTCAAAGCAGTTTCTTCATTTATTAACCAATAAAAGCAACACATAGACAGAAGGACCTTCCACACCATCAAAATAGCTCTAATTTGTAGTTATGACTAAAATTATTTAAGACAATTTGTATTGGAAAGGCCAAATGAGACAGTGATTATTTTTCAAAATTCAATAAAACATCACTAAAATCAACTTACTTGGCCTCCGACATCTGGTTTTATGGTATGAATGCCAGGTGTATCACAATGTAATAGTGTTGTGGGAGAGCTAGTATTCAGAAAGAACAGAAAAGAGGAAATCATTACAAATGTATTTGAGCCTGATTAAAAATCCACCCACGCTGGGCAGTGATGGCACACGTCTTTAATCCCAGCATTTGGGATGTAGCGGCAGGTGGATCTCTGTGAGTTTGAGGCCAGACTAGTTTATAGAGCAGGACAGCTAAAGCTGTTACACAATGAAACCCTGCTTCAAAAAAACCAAACAAACAAACTAGCAAACAAAAAATCCACCCACACACAACTTTTAAGCTTAAACAATTTAACTGTATACTAGAAAGAGAAAAATGAAACAAACAAAGCTTTAACATAGCAACTGTCTTACTGTTCTATTGCTGTGAAGAAACACCATGACTAAGCAATTCTTACACGAGAAAGCATTTGATGCAGGGCTTGCCTGCTATCATCACAGTGGGGAGCAGACAGGCATGGCACTAGTGCAGCAGCTGAGAGCTTTACATCCTGATCCACAGGCAGCAGGCAGAGACACTGGGCCAGGTATGGGCTTTTGAAACTTGAAAACCCACCTCAAGTGACATACGCTTTGTAGACCTGGATGGCCTCAAACTCACTGAGATTTGCCCTGGGATTAAAGGTGTGTACCACCTCCGCCTGGCTTTACATCTATTTTCAAAGTAAGGTAGCCTTTTTTTTTTGCATGTGTTTTCTGGAAGAAAATTTACATGAAGTCAGAACATTGAGTCTGAATATCTACATTATGTGAGTGAATGCTGGTTTATACATTGTAGGGAAGGAATGGATGTATACATGGAGGAAAATCTTACTTTGAATTTTGAACTTTACAACTCTCTGGTATGCTCCATGATGAAAAAGATGTTCCTTCAAACTCTAGATGAATCTAAGAAATGAGATGAAAGTTCATGTTAACAAAACAAACACTGTTCATCTAGTTTTCAGTTGTAAGTTCAATTATCTGGTTTGTATTACTTAAAAAATACAACTAAGATTCAGTTATATTGAAATTGTGTGAAATAAAATGTCAAAACGACAAGGAATGTTTGTCACACATCAGCAATTGACACACTTGTGACTGGAGAGATGGCTCCTCTTGCAAAGGACTGGGGTTTAGTTCCCAGCATCCACGGCTCCTCAGTACCGGTAACTCCAGTTCATGGGATTGTCCTTCCTCTTCTGCCCTCCAGAAATACTGAAACACACACACACCATACACATGCAATATATATATATATATATATATATATATATATATATACAGACCACACACACACACAAATACACACACCGCACATACACACAAGCACACACAGACTATACATACTATACACACATCACACACATACCACAGACACCACACACATACATACAAACACCACATACACACATAAATACACATACACCACACATACACACATTCATAAGCACACAGACTACACACATACCACATACACACACACACACCATGCAATAATAAATCAAGTTAAAATTGTCTACTAAGCATTTAAAGGGGAATGGTATTTTGATAGGTTATAAAGATTAAAAGTGATGAAAAGATATGATTCTTTGCTTAAAAACAAGATGTTTTTAGTACTGAGGTCCTGCCATTGACACATTACCAGCTATCAACCATCATGACTTTATGGGTTACCTTTTCCCCATTTCTAAACACACACACACACACACACACACACACACACACACACGGAGTGGGGGAGGAGAGGGAGCGAGTGCTAGGAGTGCAGCTCAGTGTCTCTGGGTCAAATATATAGCGCTAGCCAAGTAGAGTAAGACGTGTGTGTGTGTGTGTGTGTGTGTGTGTAGTTCTAAAATTAACCAATATAAAATATATACTTTCTTTTTCACTCTCACATAAGTTATTTACCCACACTGGCCACATTTATAAAGAAAGTCTTCATGAACCTCAATGAATTATTATAATACATGCTATTCCTTTCAATACTAGCAGACAAAAATTAGAAGTTCATATACACATAGGTGGAAAAATTCCTAGAGTGCCTGTAATCTTAAGGCAGAAATGAATCCAGCAAAGTGGACTTCTGAATGATTCTTAAAAGAAAACAATCCTAATGTAAATCACACAACACCTGCAAAAAACCAATGATAGCATTTGGTGTTATCAAGAATGGCCATGTATTGTGTAAGTAATAGGTCAAAGGGAACTTATAGTCTTACATGTATATAAAAGAAACATGTTTGAAAACAAACTCAGTTGTCAGTATGAGAATAAAACAACAGCAGAGAACATCTCCCAGAAATAAAAAGGAGACCTTTTTAAGAGAAAAAAAGGATTTCCTAGAAAGAAAATAACATTTATAGGAAGAAATAATTTTTATAAGTCACTAATGTGATGGCTAATTTGGGTTGTCAACTTGACCCCATCTCCAATCAACTGAAACCGAAGCAGCGGGGCACACTTGTGATGGATTTTCTTGATTAGCTCTTTTGACACGTGAAGACCCCCCCCTTAAATCTGGTGGCAGCCCACATAAAAGGACATGGAAGAAGGGAACTTTTGCTTTTTGTCTGCTTACCCTCACTCTTCATTGATAAATTTGTCCATCCTATTCCTGAGGCATTCCTTTGCTGGTGTTAGAACCCACTTCTTCAGGGTTCCAGTGTGGTCTGAAGCCTGGCAGCTCTTTAGGACTTCCCTAGCACTCTGGCCCAGACTGGGACTGCTGAGACATCCAGTCTTTCAGACTGAACAACTACCGGGCCCCTTGGCTTTTCCATTGGGAGACGGCCGTTGTTGAACTACCCAGACCACAGCCTGTAAGCCAGTACAATAAATCTGAAAAATCCTTTAGAGAACCTGGACTAGCACACCCCTGTTGTGGTTTGAAAGTGAACTGCCTCCCTCCCACTTTTGGCTCACGAGTTTGAAACGCTTGTGCCCCACCTGCTGTGCTGCCTGGGAGAGTTTTAGGACTATTGGGTCTTACTAGACCCAAGTTAAGTGGGTCACTTAACTGGGACCTTGAGGTATGACCAGGCCTCACTTGCTCCTCACTCTCTACTTCCAGACTGTGGATGCAGCCAGCCTCCCACGCTGCCCCATGCCTTCCCCACCAGGATGGAATGTATCTCACAACCATCTGTAATGAGGTCTGGTGCCCTCTTCTGGCCTGCAGACATATACACAGACAGAATATTGTACACACAATAAATAAATAAATATTTTTTTTAAAAAAAAGAATAGTGATACCTAAAAAAACAAAACAAAACAAAAAAAAAACTTATAGGATAGAACCAGAAACATTCAAACCCAAAAGTCAACAACAAAAGAAATCCCTACTGGAAATCAGTAATTAGGCTCATTGACAAACTTTGTAAAAGCCCTGTGTTCTTAGCAGGTGGAGATGAGCATCCCCTACTCCCCACACCCCCCCCCCCCACTGCCTCATCCCCGCCCCCGGGGAACAGCACGACAGATCTACCAATTTCAAAACCAGCCAGCCAGAGACTGGAGAGAAATGCAGCTGGGCAAGAGAAAAATACAGGCTGAGGAAGGAGAATCGGCGACAGGGAGCTGGCGTGGAAGTTATTCTGTGTCCTTTTTTGTTTGTTTGTTTGTTTTTTTGAGACAGGGTTTCTCTGTGGTTTTGGAGCCTGTCCTGGAACTAGTTCTTGTAGACCAGGCTGGCCTCGAGCTCAAAGATATCTGCCTGCCTCTGCCCCCCGAGTGCTGGGATTAAAGGTGTGTGCCATCATTGCCAGGCTGAGCTATTTTTAACTACTCTTTCAATCTTAATGAAAGGGAAAGATAATTTCAATTTCATGTTGTTTTTTTTTTAAACTTAAACTGGGCTTGTTTGTTTTTTTAAGGAGGCTCAACTGGTAAAGGTGTTTATCCCTAGTCTGGCAGCCTGAGGTCAACCCCACAACCCATAAAAGCTGTCCTCTGACTTTCTCAGGAATGCCATGGCTTGTGTCCTTCCCCCCACGAACAGAATAACAAACCAAATTACAAATCCAATAAAATCCCTTTAAAGAGAAAAATCAACAGGAAGGGGATCACAGCCAAATCCCACAGTTGTCAGAAAAGGAGGGCGTGAGAAGCACGATGGTATGTATCTGTGGAAGAGTGCAGATTTATCCAGATTTACCCAACAACAGAAGTTAATGCAGAGTCACACATAGTCAAAGTGCTGAGAAGGGATTGCTGAGTGTTCAAACCCCCACAAGCGCTGGAGGGAGAGGAGATGCAAAGGACAGAGCTGGAGGATGGAGCGAGTCCTGTGAATGGCTGTCTCCTGGACATGACTGTTGTCGTTATGGCTACCCTGCCCAAGACAAAGCCACCGTAACCAGCAGACATCCCGTGGGGAAGCGCTAAGTAGACTCAGTGGGGTTTTTAAAAAAATCAAGGACAATGAAGGTGGTGGAGAAACGCGTTGGGGGAATGGCAACAGGAAGTGACAGGAGGATTTGGGATAGATTTATCAGTGTGTACACGCTTGAAATTGTCAACGAATAAGTAAAAGAGAAAAAGGAAGTGATGATAAAATGGAACAAAGATGGAGCCTGAGGCTATATTGCTTGCGGCCCTGGGCTTAATTCCCAGCAAAACAGAAGAAGGATAGACTGTTGAATATACAACTTGGATGGACCTGGATGGAATGATGGTAGTAAAAACCCATCTCAGAAGGCCGTTAGGATGTTTTAATGTAACTGTAAACATTTTACACACGTACGAATAACAAAATCTAGAAAAAGAGAACTGGCTTGTGGTAACAGAATTGGAGAGCGGGTATCAAGTGTATTTTGTAAGAGAACAGCAGAAGGGAGCCTTGTAGTGCCAGCGCGGTTTCTGTAGCGTAATTGTGGCAGGGATTACACGAAGCAATGCATGGGATAAACCTGCATGGAGCTGTGTATTCAAATGTGTGCATGAGGAAACAAATCTGACTCAATACTGTGCCAATGTTTCCTGGTTTGAGTATTTGATACAAGATGCTTCTATTGAGAGGAGCTAAGTGAAAGGTATCGCCCATGTTTCTTTGCAGCTTCTCCTGGACCTACAATTATTAAACAAACAAACAGACCAAGATTTCCCTAACGGGCTTGAGCGATAGCTTAGTTGGTTGGGAAAGTGCTTACTGCGCAAGCATGAAGACCTGAAGTCGATCCCCAAACACATGTATAAAAAGCCCGGTAGGGGAGCAATATCTGTGATCCCAGCATTGTGGTCACAAAGACCGAAGAATCCCTGAATCCTTGCTGCCTAGGTAGTCTAGCCAGTCAGAGAACACAAGCTTCAGTGAGAGACTGTCTCAAAAACAAAAGGACTGGAGAGACCATTTGGGATTGAGAACACTTGCTCCTCTTGCAGAGGACCCGGTGGTGTTCCACAGCCATCCCTGACTTCAGTTCTAAGGGACCCAACATCCTCTTCTGCTATAGGAATTCCTATGGCCAGTAGCCTTTAAGTTACCCGCCCACTTTGGTGTGACCTCTATACTATAAATGTCAATGTAAAACATGTGTCTGGCCTCTCTTCCGGCTGCAGGATTTCGTTGCTGTTCCCCATTGGAGCAGAAGACTGTGATTTGTGAGTCTACACCTAAATAAATAACCCTTTATTATATTCAATTCTGAGCTAGTGTGAGATTTCTTTTTAGCATCCATTTTCAGTCTTCTGACCTCTCCAGGCATGAGACATACACACAGTAAACATATATACATGCTGGCAAAAAATTCATACAAACTTAGCAAATCATTTTTAAGAAGGGTAGGTGTAGAGTGATTGAGGAATACTTGCGATGTTGACCTCTGGCCTCCACATGAACATGTATATACATAAGCACCAGAACAAATGTTTGTACACATGTGAACATGTACACACCCAAAGAAAATAAACAAATAAATAGATTTTTTTTCCAATAAAGAAACAAAATCTATGACCTGGAATGGAATGGCAGATTTTCCTGTCAACTTGACTAACTACAGCAATTTATAGATATGGTTTACATCGGTAATCAATTTTAAGTATGAGAACATATTCTCCATAGCCAACTGGAAGACTTAAGAGCAGAATTAGGTTCCTGGAAAACAAATTCTGTCTCAAGACCACAGCATTATCGCGTGTGTTTCTAACTGTCCGGGCTGGCCTAAAACTTTCAAAGTCACCAGAAGACTCCTGAAGAGAAACAAAAGGCTACACAGAGGAAACAGTTTTAACACAACGAAAAATGTACGCATACACATATCATTAATAAACAAATAAGCAAATTTGAATTCCGTGTAAAATAAATTATCAGTGCAACTAGACAGATTACGAGAAATGAACTACTGGGCTAGAGAGATGGCTCCGTCACTAAGAGCCCTTGCAGCTCTTGCAGGGGACCCAGGGTTGGTTCCCAGCATCCGTATGGCAGCTCACAACTAACTGCTTTAACTGCAGCTTCCAGGGGTTCCAACGCCGTCTTCTGGCCTCCAAGGCCAGTGCACAAAGGTGGTATAATACATGTATGCAGGTAAATACTCGTATACATAAAACTTTTTAAAAAGAGAGAATTGAACAAGATATGCTGATACATTTTTTAAAAAGTAATAAAGAGACTAAGGTCTATAGATGAGAGGACCCTACATTTATAGTGCTGGTTTACATGGGTTGTAAGTTTACATCTGTTGAATAA